TCTTCGAATAGTCAGGGAAAAAAGTTATGAAGAAAAGAAAACTTTATTTGTGCATAACTCAAAAGCATATAATTCGTGCAATTATATTCACGACAATTAGAAATTGTTCTGAATTCCTTTCAAAATAAAATCATTGAAATTTTATCTAAGATACTACCAATTGTTTTTTGTTTACAAATGTTTTGGTCTATTATTTTGAATTAAAATTACTATTTGGTCGTGGTCAATACACTAATCGAATTTTTTTCGTACGGGCTTGACAAGTTAAAATATTTGTTTACCGACCCCAACCTAATCCCTTCAGATCGGCTTTAATGCAATCTTCCCACCTTCGCTTCGGTCTACCCTTCGGACGTTACCATTTGGTACAGCAAATATTAATTAACCTTCTAGGAATTCTCTTGTTACTAAGCCCAACAATTTTACAGGCCCATTTGATTCGCTGGGATGGAATCACCTCAATTATATTACAGTTCACGCAATTCGGCGTTGTTTAACCGTCTGAACTCTCCGGTTAATTCATCCTTCTTCGGTCCCAATAAGGAGAAGGATCAATAGAGTAAATTCGATAATAATCTATACCAATCCATAAGTATTTTAATCAGCATTAGTTAATTAGATTTTTTATATATATATTAGAAATAATTTGATATTTCGAAGGTTTGATTAATATAATTTTTCAATTAATCATAGAAGTTGTCATTAATTTCTTTGAAAGATTCTACTATATTATAAGCCAGTAATAAAAATATTATTGTTGTTGGTTTCTGTACTGCTATTTAATAATATCGATTTTCACGCTACGCCTCCCATTCTGCCTATTGTCGGAAGCACAAAATTCTTCCCAAGCCAATTATGTTTGGTAGGGACCCGATCTGAAGACCTTCTAAGGAATTCCAAATAGGGCGAAATGAGCTCACTCCCACACGAACCATCTTCAATAACGGTTTTGCTGCGATAAAATAATTACATCAGTGGTTTAGAGTTTCAGTATTTGTATTTGTATTTTTTAAACAAGGGCATATATCTTATCCTACATGGAATAATTGAGAAATATGAGCTTAATATTCGGATTATATTTCACTAAATAAAAGAAGGACGTGGGACTCCCGTGTAAAGAGATCTACTCGATATGGAAATTAAATTAATGTAAAAAAAAAATTATATGATGAAATATAAAATATTTTTGTTTTTGTGAAATGTTAAGTATTGATATTCATATATATTAAATGCAGATTATTTTCTAAACCAGTTTAAAGATCTAGGCAACATTTTTTTAATTGTGTAGAGTCTACTTATTTTTCTAGAATTTACTTCTTGTATCTAAACCAGTTTTATATTATTTTGTTCAAATTTTATGATTTGCCATTTTATTTTACCATTATTATTTTTATCTAGTTATTCGCACTGATTCGAAGCCAGCTAACATAATATATTTTTATATTGGTCCTCATATACCTTATTTTTTTTATTAAGAATGTTTATATTTAGGTTCCTCGGATAAATATTTAATCTTTTATATTGAGATAAATAATATTTATTAACCTCTTATATAATTATATATTTAATATAGAAGATGGTGAAGTATTCCATTATTTAGAAATCCGTGGGACGATCATAAAGTCTAATAAGCAATAAAGTCCGACTTATTTTATTGCTACTTTCAAGCCTTCTACTGAATTTAATTTTATTACCAATTAATTTAATTATTAATTTAAACAATTGAATTTATAATTTTAATTTCAAATATCGTATATTTTTTTACACAATTAATAATATTTCTCAACTGATATTCTGTTAAAAAAAACTTCATTATGCTTTTTTGTTTCAATAAGGTGCCCTTATAAACTTGTGAGGAAACTTTAGGGTTCAGCAAAGCAAACACACATAAACAAAATACGAATAACACAATCCAAAATTATCGGAAAAATCGTTAACGGATCATGGTGTATTTCAAATCACAGTGTGAACAACTACTTAAATTATTCAACAGTATAATGTATAACCAATATTTTTTTTTCTTTTTTTTTAATGATCTATCTTTATCTTAACTTGTTATGTTTGTTTTTATCTGGCCAGATATAAAATTTTAATTTCTGTACTTTTTTGTTATTCTGAAGGGACTTCGTCCCAGAATAAAATTATTTTTCTATTCTATTCTATAATCTTTCATCAAATACACGTTTCACTCTTCGTCCCAAAATTACCTCAATCCGCTCGTTCTGTCAATTTCAAAAAATTGATTTATGGATTTTGGTAATTGTAATTATCTTGAAAATTTTGAGGAGGTAGGAGGAGTACATTAACTTTTACTTTATGGATTTCCAAAGATTGAATATTTTCAATAATGAACCAAAAAAAGTAAAAATTAGCACTGTGCATATGGAAATTTTTGTTTGTAGTACATTTTTATAGAGGTTTTTTTTTTTTTTTTAATTTTTAAGCAGGCATATTTGAACGGGATTGTGAATTTTTATAGAAAACCATTGTAATTGTATATGGACTGTGAGGGAGTGGTGGGACCGAGCGGGCTAACGCGTGTGCAAAACGCGGGTTGTCTGACAACGTGATAAACCAAATAAAACTTGATAAAATAATTACGAGTTCGCGCCCCGGTGCCAGGTGGACTTTTTAATCATGGCATGAATTCCTCGCCCTCTCCCCTGGTCCGGGAAAACTCCGTATATTCTAAAAGGCAAGAACGGGAAGAGCAATATATATATATATATATATACATATGAACTATGATACAATTTTCATAATTCTACTTTTGTTTGCACCGTTTTAAAAATAATAAAGAAAGCAATGAAATTTCCCGGTATGCTTCATTGACGTGGGGAGATGGGAATCCCTATGGACTCCAGTCATGAAATCTAAAACGTGTTATTGATAGTTAGCTATATATTATGTTTGTTTTTTTTTAACAAAACTTCAACCAAGTCAATAATTCCTTCCTAGTTTCAACAATACCCCGAGAACAACGAAACCAGAGCGAGCCACCATTTCAATAAGGATCTTGCGACAACAGATTGCCACTTAGGTGCCAAATAAATTTATTGAAATGAAAGAGCCGGCTAGTTGTGTCCTTTGTTGGAAGATGATATCCCTGGACGTGACAGGTATTGGGCTGCTTCCTGCCCTGATGGTTCTTTCTTCGATGGCCGGGGCTTCAATGGACCCGGTCATCAATACAGCCAATACCAATCAACACCTTTAGAGGTCTCCGCTCATTCGGAGCTATTGTCTCTGACCACAATGAAATGGCTTCAGGATTTGTGAATATCTAAACAGAATTTTTAAATTTTTCGAAAATAATTGATTTATTCTTATTTTAAACTATCTTGTTTGTTTTGTTTTATATTTATATATTTTTAATGTATTAATATATATATATATATATGTAAGGATTCTATTCACTCACTGGCATATTGATCAGTGCACTAGCGGATCTATACTTTAATTTTGAGGGCGCTTCAGCCCAAAATTTTCATTTTTTGTGTGTGTATAACCAAAATTAAATAAAGAAAATAAATGACCAGTGGCAAATACGGAAAAATGATTAGCTCTATGTGCTATATAATAATGACAATATTGTAGCCACTGCCTAAATGAGTCGGCTCAGATGACTAGGCCATGTAGAGAGAATGGAGGAGCATAGGTTGCCTAGGAAACTTCTATTTAGCCACCCAGGAGGAGCACGTCTTAAGGAAAGACCCCGGCTGCGGTGGATCAACGGCGCTCAAGAGAACCTCCGCCGTATGGGTATAAGAAGATGGAGAAGAATAGCGAAAACGATCAAAGAAATTTTGATTATAGTATGATGATAGTAAATTGTGGTAATTTATATTTTTAAAAATCTACATATTTCATTTTTCATGCATTCAATATGCCTAGTTTAAAATGTTTGGTTTCATAGTTTTTAAGCGAAGTTACACGGTGGCAACTACCACGACAATTACAACCATGACTAGAAACCATATTGCCTCAATATGACTTATTCTGTCTTGTCAATATTGTTGCATTTTCAGGTTTTGCTGGATAATTATCATTATTTTTTGCTAGGTGACAGATACTCACGCTAACTGCATATGTGTAAACGTTTATCGGTGAGTTATCACACCTTATTTATTTATAAATGAGTTGCCTTTTTTACGATGATCATGACACTAGCCAGCATTTTTTTTGGTGTACAGTATTCAGTTAGCTGTTAAATATCGGCCAGTTTTCCTCCTGTCATCGTCTAAACGCGGCGTTAGTTTACCGCGATATTATTTTTCTACAAAATTATGATTTATATTTTCTTTTTTCATTTAAAACAATCTCATTAATTTGAATGTAGTTCAATTTTTTTTTTTTTTTACGAAACGAAACAACAAACTGACACTCTTTACTACTAACTCAAAAAAAATTGGTGATTGCTTTATTTGAAGAATATATCTACTTTTATATCTTTTTAAAAAGTCGTCTGTTAGGTCCAGAAAATACATGTTCAATTTTATTCAACTGTTTTCTATATTTTTAATAAGTTTAATGCAATTAATAACCTATTCCTTAAATCATAATGTACATAATTAGTATTGATGTCTTGCAACTTTTTGGTGTTGTTTCTGAAAAAGTTTAGAACAGAACTAAATATTGATAAATATGTATACATCTCGTCTATTTTATTTAAATAACTAAACAATTATTTTTAAAGTGAGATTTCTCATTTAAAAAATATTTTAAGATGCCCTCAGAAATGAGCATATGTCTTTTTATTTCAAAGTAAAATGTGAACCTTATTTTTATACCTATTTTCTAACAAAACTCAACAACAATAAAGACTTGAAGGAAAAGAAGGATATTTCATTTTTTATCTTTTTCTTTATGAAATGAGTTCTTTCCATAAGAAACTACTCCTACTTATTACATATCATGCATGTAAATATATTTGAACGATATATTACAAATTTACATATATAGCATAAGAATATGACGATGTTGCAATTTAAATTTTTCAGATGAGAAACCAAGTCAACCTCATATATAAGGCTGGCTATATGATATCCTTGGCAGCCCTACTTCTATCTCTGTTTATATTTTTCTACTTTAGGTACGTACACATACAAATATACATCTACCTGCTCTTCCTGTAATAATGTTACAAAACATAATTGGTTATAAAAATATAACAAAAATATTTTTCATTATAAAAAATGTCATTTTCAAGTAAATTATAATTGAAGATGTAATTTTTCAAAGCTTAAAATTGAACTCATTTTTACAGAATTATATGTTTTACAATTGTATGTATTTAAATTTATAATTATTTTATGTATCTTTATCATGATTATTATAAACACACACACACACACACACACACACACACATACATATATATATATATATATATATATATATATATATATATATATATATATATATATATATATATATATATATATATATATATATATATATATATTCCAATTAGGTAAACTAACAAACAGTGAGATTATTATTGCTTTATTTATATATTTGTATATGTATATGTATATATATATATATATATACATTCATTATTTATTTAATTTGTATTTATGGTGCTAAGAATTGCCAAAAAGTCCAGATTTAAATTTGATTTTCATCAATGTTATAAAAACTTTTTACTGGATAAATTCAAATTACAGAATTAAAAATTAATTGATTGATTAATAAAAATAAAAATAGAATCTCTATTTCTTCTATATTTTATTTTTTAGGTCCCTAACTTGTACTAGGATACAAATCCATAAGAATTTCTTCATCTCTTTAGCCATTAATAACCTTTTATGGTTGATTTGGTATGAAGCAGTGCTAGACAACCATACTGTGATAAACGAAAATGGGGTATGTATTTATTTCATTTTATTATATTCTAATATTTTATTTTTTAAATTCTGTAGTTTTGGGATATGAATGTTTAAGCCATATTAACATAAAAATAAGAAAAATGTAAGCATATAGTGTAAGATTTCATTTCTAATTTTTATCAAATGAATTATAGCAAATAATGTTTCTTCTTAAAAAATAGAATTTCTTTTTCAAAAACCTGTATAGATTTTCAACTTATCCACTTATTTCATAGCATAGATTATGTATTATGAAATCAATTTATATTAGTTAAATAAATTATAATGACATTTTTTTTGTTAACTTAAAACAAGTATTCTAATATTTTTCAAATAGGATGAAAAATAAAATATTAAGGTACCACTTGACAGCTCTGATAAATATCAACAAATTAATCGAAAAATAGTCACACAATGAAGATAAGACCCAGTTCCTAGTGTGTTTCAACTTGATCGCACTCCCGACCGACACATGACCACTCCTAACCCCAATAAGCTTCTTATATTAATTCTCTTGTTAACTTTCTTCAAGGATTTCCCTTATATAATCAGCAAAAATCATTAGTAATGACAATAAAACTATAGAAGTAGTCCTAAAATTCAAAAATATTACACCAATTAAATAACCGATTATTAAAATTTAAAAAAGTAATGATTTTATGTGTGTGTGAAATAAATAAAAATGTGAGTAAAATATTCGTGTGTGTGTTATTTCTGTTTATGTAAAATAAATTAAAGTTGAAAATGGTGTTGGTGGTAGATGAAGTGACTAATGACTGCGTGATGATCAGTAACCAGTTGCGTAGACGACCAATGACCAAAAACAAGTTAATAATATTTCAAGAAAATGAAAATATATAGTTAATAACCTGAATTATTTGGAGGAAGTAAATGTGAATTTGAATCAAATGACTTTGTGCAGATTGTTTGCCAGATCCTTCATGTCGTATTGCAGTACTTTCTGGTTACCACATACTTTTGGGGATTCTGCGAGGGTCTTTACCTCTATACTCTGCTTGTAGTGACCTTCCTCACAGAGTCCAAAGTGATGGTGTGCCTCTACATGATTGGTTGGGGTGTGCCTGCCCTAATAGTCTCCGTATATGCTTCTCTTAGGATATCTACCAATAAGGACACTGATTAGTAAGTACTAAGTTCAAATATTATACTCTTATTCAATTTCATCATTATAATATTTTGAAACTGTATAAACAAAAGTATTCATTCATTTACAATTCATCCATGCTGTTGAAGAAAAAAAAATTTACTAAATAATTTCTGAAAAAGTTTATTTTAATTATTTAATATCATGCCATTGTTTGTTAAATATATAGTTAACTGTGATTTCTTTTTCATTTTTATTTTTAGTCAGATATGTAGATGTATAAATTTAAATCACTAATTAATTAATTAATCCTTAAATTTTCTCTAAATCCATCCAAAAGAAAAAAAAATAAAATATTGGTAGCATTTATCTAGTGCTACGGAAAACCAAGTTTGAGATTGTATTTATGAGGACAGATTTGTGAAAATGAATGTTTTAAGTTATAAATATAGTTTTGCAGATAGTAATGTTGATCAATTATTTCAAGCCTAAAATTCATTTTCTAAATTCACGAAAATAACTCATCTGCTTATTGTCAATCAAAATCATGACATTTGAGGATCAAGATTTTAATTTTAAAAAATTATTATTTCCTTTCATATTTAAAAAAATCTTTAACCTATACTGGTGTCAGATCTCTTATTATTTTTTATCTTTTTTAAATTTTTAATTTTATTTTATTGATTCATTGGTTTTGAAATTTTAGCTGTTGGATCCAAGAGTCCATTTACCGATGGACACTCATAATACCTGTTGGATTGTCGATGATAGCCAATCTTATCTTTCTTATTACAATTGTGCGAGTTGTTTTAACAAAACTACATGCCGCCCAAAAGACAACTCCTAGTAATTCTTTTAAAGATAAAAATGCATCCATTAGATCTAAAAGGTAATATTTTTTTTGTAATAACACTTTGATATTTAGAATTTATCTTACTATCTATTTTATTTTATATAAGATTGATTCTGGTCTCTAAATACTCTAGTATGTAGAGATGGGCAGCATACCATTCATTTTAATATTTGATTACTTTCAAGTATTATGCCTCTGATAATACACTGATGAATCTCAATATCAAAGAGATCCAAAATATTTTATTTGTATAATCTATCATGAATTACTCAATTGCTTTGAAAATTACTTAAATTAGAATAAATTGGAAAAATATAAAGTATACACAAGGAGAGCTGAGTACTTTTTCATTTGTAAATTATCAAAGAAAGTAGTAATTAAAGTACTTAGTACTCAGACAAGAGTATTTGAGTAAAAAAAATCTATAATTTTTACTCACAATATTTTTTGTACATCTCTACAGATAAGAAATTTCACTATTAATACCTTGAATATAAAATTAATTCTGTTTAATTTATATCAGTAATTAATTTCTGATAATATATTTTAAATAAATATGTTTATTAATGTGAAGTAGTGTTAGTGGTCTTAATGCAATTATAGGAATGGATTCAACAAAACAATTACGTACTTACCCCAAAAAGTTCTTACCCCACGTTATCCTAATGTAGTGTATATTCAAGTTATCTATATTTTTCATAAGCACTCTTATTCATTATCTGTTATTTATTATGTTTATTTATAATTTTAATAAATTCTATGAATTAATTTATTTTTGTTTATTTTTTCTTTTTCTTTTTTTAGTTTATAGACACAATTTTAGTAAATATATATTTATCATGTAGTTCACTTGAAATAATTAACTCTAGCACCAGTTTATTTATATTTTATTTGTTTGCACTTAGCACTTTTCTTGATTTCACTATGGTTAATGCTATGTTTTTGTTTGTTTTTTTCTCATTTTTCTTTTTCTCATCACAACAACCACAAGTTTCATAATAATATTCTTGTAAGAATGAATTTACTAATATAAGAAAAATTAACGTATTCTCAAGCTAGAGTGGGTTATTTCAAAATACAAATGACAGGAGCTTTAGTTATTTATTTGTGTAAGGAGAAGTACGGTACTGAGTGATACAGCATTTTCTGAGAGAACGAAGAAAGCTGTCAGAGCAACATTGATCTTGATCCCACTCATCGGCCTCCAGTATGTTGTTATGATCGTAAGGCCAGAACAGAAGACAACATGGGAGTACACTTATGAATTGACTGAGGCCATTGTTGCCAGTTCACAGGTATGCCTATATTTTTAATATTAAAAAATATATAATTATTATATTATGATATAATTATTAAAGTAAGTTGCCTTTACTGGTCATGCCATCTTAATATTTTATCTTTTCGTTGTATTTGATTTTTGGTCAGTATTAAAGCATTAATTATAATTTTGCTAGTTTTCTTGATGGGACATTGTTTCATATTTTCGTCCTGCTATTCATATTATTTAAATAAGTATTCATTAATTTTCCTCTTCCTATTTGAACAGTGTATATGGTTAGGTAAGTATATGATGACTTCAAGAGTTTAACACATTTAATTGGAACTTGGCTGTAATATTTAATCACTTATTATTAAAACTTGTACACGTAGACATTCATAGTTGTCTAGTAGAAATATACAATAAACATTGAAGTTGAAATAATTCTAAATTTCCTAATTTGTTCATACAATATTAAATAATTCAATAAAAATACAAAGCTCCATTTGAAATTTTTAAATAATCTAACTAATTATGGACAAATATTTTTAATTGTGATATTTTTAAATTTTTGATATTTTTAAATTATTGACAAATTTAGAAACAGAAATTATAAATTAGCATTCATTATTTATTGTTTTTATTTTTTATTTGTGATCATAAAATTTTAATTTTCAATTAAATTTTAAAGTCTAATCTTGTATAAAAATTTAACAAATTTTCTCATGTATTTGTTTATAAATCTAGTAAAGGTAAAAAGGAAATTATTTGATAGATATAAAGAAATGTCATGTTAGTATATTTTCATACCAGATGAAAACATCTAAATTTTCCTTGAATGGCTTGTACTAATTACAAATAATGCTATTGTAAATGCTGCTAATCATATTTTTATTTTACAGGGCCTGTGTGTTGCACTTCTCTTCTGTTTTTGTAATGGTGAGGTAATGTTATACTAAATTTATATTTATTTAATGATAAAAATTAATAGCTAAAAATTGTGAATGAGAATTGATAATACTTCTTGGAGAAGTAGTGCAAGAAATTGTTAGCACTATAATGTCTAATTATATTGTTAGGATTAATAAAGCATACAGAAATATGCTGCATGATTGTTTATGTAGACATTAAGCGGTTAAATGGTTCTTGGACTAATGGCAAGTATTAACAGGTCACTGCTGCAGTCCGGAAAAAATGGAGGCAATGCCGACTGAGTAAAAAGAGGCCATGGAATTCTTGTTCCGGAGTAACTTCAGTGTCGGTAAGTTTTTGAATTTTTATTTTAATATAGAGTTTTTTTATAATATAATTTTTTTATGAGCAAAAATTTTATTTTCTCCTAATGGTTGAAAAGGTTATAAAATATTTATACTAAGAAGAAAAAATGAATGGATAAACCAAAAAATAAATTAATGGAAAATTATTTTTAAAAATTCATTGACATAGAAGGTTCCTTAACGGAGAAGTAATAGTGTAAGATTATGGGTATGATAGCAGTAAGAAATAGTAGAATCAAATAGCTTAACACTTTTCGTGTAGTTTATATTAAATAAATGAAAACTTTTTTTCACAGTAGATAAAATAAAAAAATTTCGTATTCTTATTTATTAAACTAATCTTTAGTGGGCAGAAATTTTTTTTGACATTTTTTTTAGTTCAGTAGATCATCCTTTGTACAAGAGATGGTTGGAGCTGTACCTCCCCCTCACATTGATGGTTTGGCTACTGGTAACTGTCAGCTTTAAATAACAGACTGCTTCACTAACACACTACTTAACTCATGGTGCAAGGTGGCTTAATGGTATTGGGAATTTTCATGTATATAATTTTGAAAATGGTTTTTAATCCTTGATCTCTTCTTGATCTAAATAATTTAACATATTTGCATATAAATGCAATCAGTGAATGTAATTATTACAATTTGGTTAGAATCAGGGTAATCAATATTTGTATAAAATAGGAATATATCTTTAGTATCAATGAAAAGCTCACATCCTACTTAATCTTTGTATTCTAGTAAGTATTTTTATACTTTAATACATGTTATCATGTTAATATATAAAAGAATTATACTTAAAGATATGCAAGAAACTGCTTTATACTGGTTAAATCATTTTTATAGAAGATTTATTTTTATGTATTACTGTCAAATCAATCAAGCTTTATACTAAGTATATTTTGATAAGATGCTTACTATTGAATTATGGTTTATTTATTGCCTCACAATCACATGTATAACTCATGGAGATCAGTCTTCCGATTGGAAGATATAAGTTAGTTTTCTCATTTAGTAGTGGGGAAAACTAGAGGTGGGTTTATATATATAGTGTCTTAAAGGATAGATAAGCCCTTATAATTTCACTATTTACTCAAGAGATGGGTAAGATTGTTCAATCAGATACATGGAATTTAGATAAATGGATTGAGATACTCAGATGATTTAGCCTTAAGAGTGTCATGAGGATTATTACTTAACTACCTATTTAAGCCATACTCCTCCCGGTGGGTACTGCTACTCTAGGCATATCTATTTCAGCCATTATTAGTTCAGAACGAAAGAAGCAAGTGGAATGAATTTCACTAATAGTTAATTTAACCACTTTGGTCATTCTGACTAAGCAGATGTTAAATTAATTATTTATTTCAAAAACACATATTTTTTATTTTTTACCTGACAATAATTATGAATCATTTTCTTTTGGCAAAAAAAAATATTATGATTTTTCAAGAGTCACCTCATCTGCTTATTGTTAGTACATTACCAAGGATAAGGAGTCAAGTTGGACATTGAAGTGGTAGTAGCAACTCAAAAAATTAAAAAAATCCAACGGCTGTTAAATTTTGTATTCAGTTACAAAAATATTAAATAATAATAACTCATTATTGCTCGCAACTATATAATCAGTGGATTTTAAAATACCAATATTTGTAATGCACACATCACTGATCTTAGAACTAATTACAAAAAAAATTTGGGAGAGGGTACGGGTGACAGGTGTAGTTGTGCTGATCTCTGTCCGTCGTCCTCATGAATGCCTAAAACTTATACCAAAAGGTCAGTTTAACATATTTGTGCATTAAAATTTATTGTGCATTACAATAAATTTACTTATTTGTGGTTTTTCATTATTAACAGTACCACCCATCCAACTTCTCCTGTAATCAATATATTTTATTTTTGTTCATAAATAAATTTAAAAAATGATTAAAGGATAGAGAACCTAATGATTTATTTTCACAACAATTTTATTTACTTATTTAGTTTATTTTTACAACAAATAATATTTTATTTATGTGATAAACGTCACGCAATTGAACTGAATTTTTTAAATGGAAACAATTCTCTGCAGTCATACAGCTTCAGAAGATACCAAAATTATTTTTTACAACCAAAGTTGTAAGTCTCTAGATAAAACGCTCCACATGAGTGAGACTCGAATCAGAAATTCTATGGATTTATATTTACAAGAATAGTCTAGACTTGTTTCCTCGACCAAGCACTGACCCCCTTCCTTGTTTGATAGAGGTCATTGATCAGGAAACCTACATACTAGGTTCATTGATGGCATAGAAATACAAATATTCAATAATGTTTGTTAATTCTTTCTACTTATTTTTAATATATGTGTAGCTATAATTATCCGATAGTTACGTGACTGTAATGTTTGCTCATCATTTGGTTGTAACTTACTCCTTTTCTAAAAGATATGTATCCAATTTCATGTATGCCTTCATGCATCATAAATTATTTGACAATCAAAAACGTTATTTTTCATAAATTTACATTCCTACTGGAACTGGTGGGAGGAACTAGTCCGGCAAGTGGGCCTATGTGGTCCTTTTTGCAAACCCCTGACGGCTACCTTGAGGTTACTACCGGGTACTAATCAGAGTACGAATGTCACGATCTGTTTTCCGGAACCGCCGAGAAATGAAAATTAACCAACCCAGGTGGGAATCGAACCTACAACGTTCAGATCTGGGCACTCTGGAACCCACATCCCAACGTTCTCGGCAATCCCATCCTCTACATTCCTACAAATGATAATCTTTTATAAAAAAGCAGTTTTAAATTTTCATGATTATCAACTATTATTATTTTTTTTAAATTATTATTATTATTATTAATGTTAACTAAGATACTAAAACCAAGCATTCTGTATCATTAAATCATTTATATCGGGAAAGGAAGCTGTACATTTCGAACGTTTTCCACACCTTTCTAAGCACTGTAAACGAGATGGTTATTCACATCTTTTCTCTATTACTTGTAAAAACTTACCAACTTTTTCTCAATGTGTAGAAAGGTTACGGAGATAATCATAACACTCTATTAACTCAAGAGGACAATTTTTTAAATTATTATCTGTCACCATTAGATATAATCTTCTATATTCTGTTCCATATTATTATAGCAATAAGATTGTTTAATAATAGAAGACTATTGTTTATGACCTTCCAAAATAATTTCATCTGGAATACTCCAAAAGTGTTTTCTTAGAACCTAATTATAATTTAGAATGTCATTCACAAACATTTTTGTGATTTAACCAGGAAAAGTAGTACCTTAGTTTTATTATTCCTATTGTTAATCATCTTATATTTATATTAATAAGAAAATATTTCTAACCTATATATTGTTAATAAATTGTTTAATGTAACTATAACAAATGTTTTCTCCAAGTTTTTATACTATTGTAAATATTCCTTTTAGTGTATCTCATAAGTAACATCTTTATTATGTCTGGTTATTGATGGAGAAGGTCTTTTAAGTATCAAAATGCTAGCTTGCAATATCATATATTTTCACAATTCCAGACTTAAAGAAATATGTCACATTCATTTAAGAAGTAATATGGTCTCTTTTATGCTTTTGGAACTTTTGTTGGCTTTGTTTGGTAATTGCATCAAAACAGTTTTTTTTTTGTCATATTCTTTTAATACAATAAGAACATTCTAATCATAAAAACATTGTTGAGTAAAAATTGTTTGACAAAAACAAAACAAATTAATAAAAACTTTGAAATATTTTTTGATGAAATTTATTGATATTTTTGAAATTTTAAATATAGTTGCTAAAAAAGTGTAGTAGATTTAAAAAAAACTAAAATTAATCTTTCATTGATTTTAAAACTAACTGAAGAGTGGACCAACTCTTTTCATAATTTTATGGTAATGTTTCAACAATTGATGTAGCTATCTTCAAATGTTTTCTTTGATATTTCAAATTTTCTTTGCAGTTGATTCTACAAAGTGATCTTTCTTTGCAAGAAAATTTTTTCTATGATTTTTCTGATGATTTTTTCATGTGAGTAATGTGCCCAGTGAAGTATTGAATACACTGCACTGAACTACCTTTACCCTTTGTTATAAACCTATGACTTCCTACACTACCTGTAAAAACCTGTACCACTAACAAACAACGGAGGGTCTTGGGTTCAGTACAATGTGAGGAAGTACTGTTACGAGGCAAATCATTGTGCAGGGAGGTGACAGCCTAATATCACGCTCGAGCGACAGGCTGACTGGGTTTGTCCCAGGAGAATCTCCCGGCTCCAGGGTCACCCCATAGCTGATGAAAAATTACTAGCCATCAGCCGGATTCGAACCTTACAAAAATTACAAAAGACTCATATATATGACTATAATAAGGCCTATTTGGCCTATAATTATGGAGCTTCATTAAACCATCAAATTTCTCACATATACAATCCTTACAATCCAAAATCCTCAATGCTCCTTACTTTGTTACAAATAAAGTCCATAATGACCTTAATGTTCCTTATGTTTCATATTCGATTCAAAGCAGATACCTATCTTTCCATAATTAACTTTATAACCATTCCAACCCTCATGTTTCTAACTTTACTTCCTCTTCAATTCCTGATAACCCTCTGAGGCATCTGAAAAGAAAATGGTCGTGAAACTACCATTGGGTAGTTTCTCAAAAAGTTTTCATGTTATATATATTTGTACAAATTTAGTATTTTTTTTAATACAGTTGTAAATATCATGAATAAATAAATAATAAATAAAATGTAGGATTACATTTATTATTTGATTAAGAATTATGAGGCATTAATGGAACTAGTTTCTTCAGTAAATAAGCTTTTTATTCACATTTTATCACCAATCAAAAACTAAATGCACTTCATGTGGAGATTCAAAAATGATATTTTCTTCCTAACAATACTACTTTAAATTACATTTTTTTAAATATTGCTTCAAAATATTTTAGATTTTCTAATGAAAGAAAATGTATCTAAATTAGCACATGCAGGAAAGAGAATCTTTTTAACAATTCAAAAAATGCACTGCAAACTAGACAAAAAGGTAAAATATTGAACATTTACTGGTTTTTGGTAGCTAAGGAACATAACTAGATCAATTACATTCAATAAAAAAAAAATTCTTGTAAAAATGCTAGTACATGTATAAACAAAAGGGCCTACTTTGGAAAATAAAACTGCACATTTCTTCTACCCACTTTCTGATTTTTCAATCTTTCTTACCCAATAGATTCTTCTCGGCTTCTTTTGATTCCCCCACTACATCTTTCTTGTGAGCATATCACAAGGTAGTGTATTCAGTTCTCTCCTCTTTCCTCTCTGCCCATACGATATTTCTGAATTTGAATTTTGACTATGATGAATTAGAGATATTTTGTGTTATAATATAGACAGCTTATAACAAACCTGAACAAGCTATAATTTTTTTTTTAATATTACTCATTTTATACTTAAAGCCATCAAAATGGCTTATTATAAGAAAAGGTCACTTTTCATGAATACCTAGGTATTTCTTTTGAGGTCTTACAACCTAATAATTGGCATGTAATTGAAGTTTTTAAACTGCTAAAATGTTATATATCATCACATTAGTTCTAATACCAACTCAATTTTTTATGCAAATGAGTTAAATAGTAACCATGTATGCTTACGTCAAATACATGTTTCCTAGACAGTTTGAGGTTGAAAAGTATTGATAAATTATAAGATATTAGCAAAGAAAGAAAATTATTTTTTTACGTCTTTTAAAGTTGGGAGGATTGACTTAGGTGGTATGAGAACTTATATGACAATATATAAACATTAAAATGCCAAAGAAAATGTTTCTATTGTTAATGGCTGTAACATTACCATGATACAATGAAAATATGAAGAATTTGTATTAAATACAATGAAATAAAATGTATATACTCTGTACTTATTTAGCTTGACATATTAAATAATCTTTGAAGAGATGGGTAATTGACTGTTAATGTCAGTTTAAAATAATGATTATTTTGTTAGAGGTCAGTTAGGCAAAGTAATATAAAAACATTATCTCAATATACATAATAAACTCTGTGAATTGAATATTTCCATGATAGATCATTTCAAAAGAATTATTAATCCTTATATTTAATACAACAAGGATTTAATATTCATTACAAAACAATCATATTTCCCAGATTAAAAATATATGTGTATATATTAGAATATAGCAAAATATCATATTAATGCTTATCTGGTTTATAAGTACTTTGGTTGGTTTTAGGACCAAATTGAAGTAGTTAGAAAATCTATTCTTTATTAAAAATAAGCTCTATAACATTAGGTTCCTGACCACCTCTGCTCAACAATTACCTTTCCGTTACTACTTAAAATATTGTACATATCATTTAAATAAAAATAAAAATCAATCAAAATTTTTGTTTTCTGTAAATAAACTAGAATAGAATCTATTGTGAATAAAATTCACTTTACTAATTCACTACTTAGTCAGATTTTAGTAGAATTATTTTATTGTTCTTGTCCCTTAGTTTTATAATACATTGCTTATTATAATATATTACTCATTATAATAAGTAATATTTGTAATATATTTATTATAAACTCTCAGTATTATGATATAGATATTTATGAATTATTTGTTAAATGTGTTAATATTGTATGTCAATAATGTATGTGTTTATTGTTATTTATCTAAAGGAAATATGTATTTAAGAATGATCTACATACAAGAATTATTCCTTATAAATAAAAGCATAATTCTAAAATCCTTAAAAAATTATATTGTTCTTGAATTCATGGATTCAAGGTTATCAATAACATAAATATAAATTATCACTGTAGAAACAATAAGAATTTCAATATTTTATGCAATTAAGATATGCACACCATATTAGTCAAAATTTCTGGCTGAATCTTAAGGTAATACTAATTTAATTGAATTCAAATTAATTTAATGCATATAAATAAAAACTATATTTTCAGATTATTGCAAAAAGGGTAAATTCAACTAATCAGGTATTTTCAGATTTACATCTTTTTAGTTTTATGAGATGATTAGCTATTGATTTATAAAAAAATCAAATCTGTGATTTTGATACTTCAGCATTTCACTTCAAGGCCCCATCATGTAATAATAGCGAAAAAATCACTTTCTAAACAGACTTTGCAAATATAATCTCCAGAAACATAGTGAATTGAAGGATCTGTCATTTTTATACTGTTTTTTTTTTTTTCACTATTCTGAAAAGTTGAGACATATATATTGCTTCTACGGTGACAAAATGTTTTTGTAACGTAACATGAAGCCTTGAGTAGATGAACAATTTATGATTGTGACTATTGTACAAATTTTATATCATCTTAATGTTAGTAAACCTGTTCTATGACATGTGTCATTATTTAATTGTTTCCAGATTTTTTAAAATATCCTTGAAAATATTTTGTTAGAATTGTATAAATATAATATTTATAAAGTTTTCCATAGTTCAAGTATGTTGTGAAATGCAGGAGAAAAAAAAAAAAAAAAAATGAAACATTCTAGTTGTATGTAAATTATTATTTGGTTGTTAACTTATTATTTGATAATTGATTGTGAGAGATCTATTATTAATAAAAGATTTTGAATGTTAGATATTGAGGTGTTTTTAAGAAGATTTTATTAACTAATGAAATATAATTACCTAAAGCTTTCATATTGTTTGGATTAGGTAAGTGTGATCCTTATTAAGATGCATGCTTGTGTTGATTAACATACAAAAGTTTGCATGAAATTAATGCACTAATGATGACCAAGATCAGTAATACTTTTGTTCATTTTGAACTTCAACATTATACTAGAGGCCAATTTTAAAATCAACAAGATTAATATATTATATAATCTAGAAACTAAACTTTGATGAAATATTCAATATATTTTTATTTTTCCATCTTTATCTTTCATCTTATATTTGAAATATAGTGAAATAGAAAATTCAGATTTTAGTCTATAGATGTTTATGTTATATTTATTTTCCAATTGTTAAAAAAAATACTTCAATCAGAAAGTACAATTTTGCATTATATTAAACAGTAATGTTGCTTGTAATGATACAAACTATATTACAATTAGAAACATATCTGTGAAACAGCGCAGGAATGATAGAATTTACCTTTCCTTTTCTTGAAAGTATTTTTTCATGGAACTGCTATTATGTGGCCTGAATACTATAACGTATTGTAATAACCTTTTCACATAGATTCGACTATTCTCGTCTATTCTTGTTTATAACTCTCTCTCAACATATCAATTGCACTGTACCAGTCTTCAAGTGTTTTAGGTCAGCTTGAGCATTCCCGCAACCTCTGGTTTAAACAATAAAAATAAACTACAGCTACATGTCTTACTTTAATCCAGAAACATAGGTGCTGGCACTGCAAGTGTGAAGAGGGGAGAGGGACAAGACACTTTCTGCTCCCTCTATATTTTATGAAGGAGGCAACCACTCCAATATTTTTCAATACTTTACTAAAAAATAACACCAAAAGATCAATAAATGTGTCTATAATAATTATATTATATCACAGGTAATAAACCGATTACTGACCTACTCCTTTATGTATGGTATCATGTGTCCTCCCCTCCATTACATTGAAGCTCATGTACTGTTATCATATTTTACTAATATTCGGCTCTCCTCTTCCCAATATTTTCTATGTGTCAGTGCCTATGTCCAGAAGTATCAATAATCTTAGTCAACACTATAAGATATCTGAGTTTTGAAATCCACAGTCAGTTGATATTAAGGAGGAAAATAGTACAAATTAATTGCTTAGCCACTGAACCCCATCACTTAAAAGAAATCTATAACAATATTCCTGCAATCACATTTGCAATAAAAATATATTAGCTCTGTAAATTTTTTTATTTTCCTTTTTTTTTATTTAGTTGTCTATTTCACAATTATGTGAAAATATCTTTGCCTAACTGGACTAACGTGTCAGTTCTAAGATAAAACTAGATATTAGTTTCTGTTCCATGGTTTGAAGCATTTTCAGTAAATAAAATTTTTACAGCATGAAATTTACTTACCATTAAGAATAATTTTAAATTTGTTATGTATTCATTCATTATGTTTTCTTTATTCATGTTTTAGAGGCATAGAAGAAATTTATTAGATTCTGATCTGTTAAATCAGAAGTAGATGCGTTTGAATAATTTTCTGATGCAAATCAAAGACTTAATCCTACTGCTCCTACAACTAGGTAGCGGGCTGGAAGATGTATATAGCGAAAATAGTAAGTATATAAATGACATTAATTAGCATCATATTCCATTATTTAAAAACTGAAAGGTTTTTATTCATTTATTTTTTTTTTTTTTTGGGGGTGGAGTAAATAATTTGTTTGCTTGTAGTAGACCTAGGGGTTTAACGCCTATAGACAGCAAAAAACAAACAAACAAAGTTGTTATGAGTGCATCATAAAGTGTCTTATGCATGGTGCATAAAAAAGCAAGAAGGTTTTTTTGTTGCAAAGGTTCTGAAAAGGAAAACACCTATGAAATATTACTGTCGGTAAGCTGGATGGAGCCACTTCAGCTCAGCTAAACAGCTGGAGACGTGGGAGCGCCTGGAAACTTCAAAGATGAATCTAATGAAACAATTCATTAGTCTCTTCAATCTGATCTCGAAACCACCAGACAGTCCTCTGTATAAAAGACAGCCATAATCGAAGTGAGGAAATAGGGTAGCAATCGATTTTCTGAGAACTTGAGAATTATGATTGTTCTAGGAGAGGTATTGATCGAAAATTACTCCAAGATTTCTAACAGAATTATGGAAATGAATAGGTAGTCCATTGGGGTTGGTAGAGTAGGGGATAATAAGGGATGGAATTGATATGATGCTCGGAACCAATGAGAATGGCTTTGGTCTTCTCAACATTCAACTCTAAACCATTGCCCAAGTGGTAATACCATACATATCTTCCTGTAACCATCAAATAGCCTCAAGCATCTCGGTAGGATGAAAGGTAAGATAGATTTGAAGATCATCAGCATAAAGGTGATATTGTGAATGATGGATGGAATCAGGAAGGTTGTTGATGTTGATAGAGAAAAGAGTTAGAGAGAGCAAAGATCCCTGCGGGACACCACAAGCTAGTAAGAGGGAGAGGGAATTTCATTAGGAATGATGACTGTTTGGGATCTATAAGACAAATAGGAATGGAACCACTTTAGGAAGCTATTTGATATGGAAAGATTTTGGAGTTTAGAAAGAAGAATTTTATGATTAAGGGAATTGAATGGTTTTGAAAAATCAAAAAGGACTAGGATGGAGATTTTCTGTTTGTCTATGGAGAATTGAGAGTCTTGGGTGATTTTCAATAGAGCAGATTGGGTGGATAACTGGGACCGGAAACCAGACTGTAGGAGATTGAGGAGAGCATTTTGCTTAAGGCCGTGGTTACACTGGATCCGTCACGACACGATACGACGGCTCTACTGTTCAACTCAAAAACATATGACTTTCATTCATGTTTTAATGTTTATCATCCATTTAATTGTATTATATTCATCCAATGTACATAAAAAATAATAGTTAATTCCTTTCAGATTGTTTAATAATTAATAAGTACGGCATTATTAATAAGTTACGGCATTATTTATTCCATAAATAATCTTAAAGTAATTCAAAATACAGTCGAAAATTACAATAATAGCTATTTTCATTTTATTGTTAACAACAAATATTTATTATTGTCATTTAAATATCTAATACTCTTTCATTATTGGGAAAATAAGTTGTGACTTTTTATCGTCAATAGTACGCAAAATATGAAAATTAAAAATATCATCAAACATTGTTAATTTTATTTATTATATATTTTAAATTTTAAAAAATAAAGATGAAATATATTTTTTTTATCTAGCTCATATATATCATCGTCACCTTTATTCTATAATATAATTAAATATTATTTGGATTCTGCTTATTACTTTAAGTTATATGTAATTCATATTTAACAAATTAAAAATATCATTTTAACAAAAATTATCTTATTTTTAATACAATATATATTCTATATTTTAATCCGTAATAATTAAATGTTGTTTAAAAATGTCGAAATAACACCAGATTAGTTAAAAAGATTAATTCACATCGTGTTTCTTCACTTCCTATCAGTCATAAAAAAAATTATTCAAAACCTCCTGAAAAATATTCGTTTTTTTTTTCTATTCATTAATTGCATTTTTGTAGAATTCATATTGATACTATTTAATTAAATATAGTAAATAATTTTGGAAGGATTAATTAAATCCACACCTCTTGTTAACGAAAGGCTTTTTTTTTCGTTTAATTTAACTATGGTTTCAATATCTTTAGGTTGTCGTTTATTTCTTTTGCAATTTATTTCAGCAATTATTGTCATACATTTTAATTCATACATAATATTGTAAATATATCATCAAATTGTTAATTTTAATGCATGACTATTGAATCAATTTTTAAATTAAAAAAAAGGGTTACCAAATGAATTAACATATTAATTCACTAATTTAGTTTTCATTTTTTCTATTCTTGCCTATAAATAAAGAAATTATCCAATATCATTCTGTAAAAAAAAAAAATCTATTAATTGTATTATTTTGAAATTTATATTAAAATTATTTTAATGAAATATATTAAACGAATAGTTCGATAGAAGGGGCGTGGATAGGCAAACCCGCCCAACACGACGTCGTACGACGTCGTGGGAATTTCAAACCGGTTTGTTTCCAAACCGATTTTTCAACACGACGGTCCATAAATATCAGTACTAATTTTATGAAAAATAAAATAAAATTAACACAGAAAATTAAATACAAGATATTTGATATAGTAAATAACGAACTTAATCGTCGAAAACCAATAAATAAAGGATAATGCAGTAAAGGTATAGGAATAAATATTGCAAGTCAAAATATATTTTATATCAAAAGAAACTGAAGTCATTAAAAAAATTGAACATAAATAATAATATTAATTTTGAACTTTAAAGCAATATTAATAAAATTAAAGATATAACTAACAAGAAAGATAGAATTAAGAAATTATAAAAAAAAAGTTTATATGATAAACAATTATTTATCCGATTGTTGATTATTTAATTTTTAACATTTAATCAATGACAGATTTAAGTTTCGAAATCTCACAAACACTCCAACGAACAAATTTTACATATAAAACTCCTTTTTAATATTAATTAAGAAAAAATATTTATTTTTTTACATTTCGGCCTAGTTAGGCATTTTGGAATTTCTAATAAAAAAATAAATAAAAATAGAAAATCTTATATCTTCTAAGTATCCCTGATGTAACTTCTTTCACATCTAATGTTACACCGTTTTCATGTTATTAATTTGTGGATATTAGCAAATAATAGTTTTTGACAATCCATATATTTATAATTAATTAGTTGTTAGATATTGCAATATTTTGATATTGTTATTTTTCTTTGTAATGGTTTTTGTTTTGTTTTTCTTTTGATAATTTCCGTTACTATCCCTACTCCCTCCACCCATCAACAATGTCAGCTATCAGTGATTCAATAATAGTGGTCAGTCAATCTATTCAAAACATCAAATTCTCAACCTCGCAAAACAATATTAAAATAAATAAATTTGACAAATAAAGCTTAAATCATCAATTTTGAAATGGAATTGAATAAAATATCTTTAGGGTATTTTGATGCACGGCAACTAATCTACTAATGAATAACATTTCATATAAATTTATAAATGATAATGATAAAAAATCTGAAGTAAATAATAAACAAAATTAAATAATGTCAAAATTTCATGGTGATAAAACAAAAATAACGAAGATAATACATAAAAAAGCAGAAGTACAGATCAGTTTAAAATAATAATGAAAACAGATATAAAGGACAATGATAATACAGTTAAACTTCATGGAATGCTGATGAAATATCATGAATTAAAATATATACCCAATTTAAATGGAAACTTTTAAAAAGTATATATGTATATTAATTTTATAAAATTTATAAAAATAAAATACATAACCATATAACTAATATTAAAATTACGATTAGAAAACAATATAAAAAAGATGTTATACGTAAAGTAAATTAATTGCAGTAAAACCCATATCCTACCTATCTACATAAAGTGAAATGTATCCATTGCTTGCAAAAATATTATATATCGAAAAATAGAACAGAATATAAACAAATAGACTGAAATAACATAATGCTAAAATTATACACAGCCGTTTATAAAACTATAACTAGTGTTAAAAACAACCATAAATCTGACTTTGATAATAAACTATATTATATAGTGCAGCCAGCAATAGAATTCGAAGGTGATTGGCATTAGCATACGTTACTAGATAAATATATAAGGCCTTTAATTGTAGATGATATACTAAAATTATAGTAATAACCATGACCCTAATAATATATAAAGTATAAGTTTTATTTTTTCTTTGAATTATTAAAACAAAAGTAGAATATTTTTAATGTTCAATTCTATTTAATTACTATTTATTCTATTAAAAGTCGTTGGATATTTTCATTTTCATTAATGAAATTTATTTGTATTTTTCTGTAATTTTTATACTGAATTTGAATTAGTTTTGGATTTATCTATCGAATAAATAATATTGAAATAAATATTGATTAATTGGAAAACATGAAAAAACAATTTTGATAAAATTTAACTATTATTTAGTACATATATTATATAAGGTTAGAAATAATGAATGAATTAGAAATCCGAGACGTGACGTTGCCATTGTAAGTGCATGTTTTTTGAACATACAGTGCAGAGCCCCTTTTCTGTCGTGTCTTACATTTTACGTGTCCAGTGTAACCACGGCCTTAGGAAGATATTTAGCTGAAAATGGACTAGTCTATCAAGAGGCTTTGAAAGGTTGGAGAGAATGGAGATACTTCTGAAATAGGAAGCTTTGGAGGGAACCGAAACTTTGCAAGGAAAATTGTTACTATGTAATAGGATAAGAAATAAAATATGCAATAATACATATGATATTTTAAATTAAATTTTTTTTTATTGTTACACTCCACATCTAACCAAGTGGGTCATTAGCGGCTTTAGATGGAATTAAATTAGGTGAAATAATTTAATGTCTTTTATGAATTTAAATACTTTTTGTATCTTCTCTTCGTCATCTAAAAGTGCGTTAAATATTTTGGAAGGTATATTATGTTTTGTTCTGGTGTCAAAGAATAGTCTGCAAGTTGTTACAATGTGTTTCAGTGTAAGTGATGTGTTGCATTTTTTACATAATGGTGGTTCCAGACCTCTCATTAGGTAGCCATGGATAAAGACTGCATGTCCAATTCTAAGCCGAGTTAAAATTATTTCCTCTGTTCTGTTCTTTCTGAAAGAGATTGTCCATGGTTGGACATATTTTTTAATTTCTTTCTATTTGTTTGTAGATTGGTTCCACTTAAATTGCCATTTTTCATTAAGCATTTTTTTGCATTCCAATCTCCAGTCAGCAGTGGTCCTTAAATTGATCATTGTGGTTCCATTTGTTTTTCTTCTTGCGAGGTTTGCATCTCTGTCTGCAGCTTCGTTCCCAGATATGCCACAATGTGAGGTTACCCATGCGAGGAGGATGTCTCTGTTTGGCGACTCCTTCATTTCCCAGAGGCAGTTTTTGATTTTTCTGGAAATGGCATTGTCGGAGTTCCCTTCGGCCATGACCATTAATGTGGTTAAACAGTCTGTAACTGTAAGTATCTGTAAGGCCATTTTTATGTTTTTTTTTGTTAGTAATAACAAGGCCTGATATATGGCGAAAGTTCGCCTGTGAAGATGCTGTTTATTTGGGGCAAATTGAATTTGAGGCACTGGTCTTTCAGTATTACTACACATCCTGCGTCACTATCTGTTTTTGATGTGTCTGTATAAAGGGTTGGGTGTCCGAGGTATTTGTGTTTCATTTCTGTAAATAAGTTTTTTTTGACAAATTGGTCGTCAGTTTGTATTTACCTAGAAAGAGACGTATCTGTTTTTATGAAAGAATTATTCCATTGAAAGAATAAAGCATCATCTATTGTCATTATATTGTCCAGTCTAAAGTCTAATAGTGAAAGGAGTTTGTGTGTGTGTTCTCTCTGTAATGCCAGTTGAGTAGTACACTTGGTTGCTGCTGATGCTGGTAAACAAACTATGGTTAGGGTGGTCCGGTTTATAAATTAAATTATTTAAATCAGATTAAAAATCCTGTATTTAAATTTTGCAGTTTCTTATGAATTTTTGACATTATTTTGATGTCAACAGTTCAAATATAATTGAATAAGTCATATTGAAAGGATATCTTATCTTTTTCAAGTATAGTTGACCCCTTTTAAAAATTGTCCATTCAATTAATAAAAATAAAAAATGATTATTTTTGGGATAAAGATAAGATATATTTGAATATGATATGTAGAAGTTGAATAGTGAATGATGCCCTGATGCCCTGACAAAGGCCTAAAGCTTACAATTACACTGAAACATCTGTGCATATTTAACAATAACAATAGTGAAATTAAAATGAAATAAAAACAATAGTGTTCATAGTACTTTTCATATTACTTGAAAGTTTCAGCACATAATGTACCCCAGTATTGGGCGGGTCTAAGCTGGTTCAATGTTATATGCTCAAGGAGGGAACTAAGCATTCCCAAAGTATTCAAATAGTAATAAAAAAGGAGTATGAACATTATTATTTAATTATTAATTTTCCTTATTTATTTTTTCTAGATGTCAGATCTCCTTCATTTATTAACTAAAATAATTCAATTTTTCATTATAGGTTAAAGGATTCAATTTAAACAGAGAGGAGCAAATTGTTCAATTACAATTAGAAGAAAAACTGTAAAATAATTCTTTAATTTGTTATGTCTTTATAGTAATGATTGTTTTATAAATTATGTCATCATAGTAAATTACATGCTTTTTTTTTACTTGTTTTAGTCAATCTAGAATATAAGCCACAATATATTTTTATAGAAATATAAGATGTCTTATTTCTGATACCCTAAATATATTTTATTCTGTATGTTAGTGGTGCTTTAAAAATTCTCTTAGATGCTACAGTTATATGAATAATATTTTAATTAAACTCTAAAAGTTTTATAAATCAAAAACTGTCAAAAAAATAAAGATAAACACCGGAATCGTGTATTTCACAATTCAAATTGATTTCAAGGTTTATTTTAACACTTCTGGCACTGAATACATAGATGGGTGATTTTCAAAAAAGGTAAACTGTAGTATTAATCCAGTATTCCTTCAAATAGACATGTATTATTATTTTATTCTGATTTCTGTTTACACTATGCATCATAAACACTATTTTCTTCAATGAATATTTCATTAAAACCATCGATTATCAATTTCTTCACTTATAATGAGTTGAACTTCAGTTAAAACATCTTTTGGAAGAACTCAGAATATATTCTTTTTGCATAAAAACTTTAGAAAACAATAGACCATGACACCCCATAAGTGAATTCATGATTATTTTAAGTGCAACTATATTACTTGTAAAATAGCTTATTAAAAATTTAGTATGATGATTTATATTTTTTTAATAATTGATCACAAAAAATTAAAGTGTTCAGAGAAACACTCTTCATATTTATATTTATTTTGAAATATTTTGTCATGATTTTATTTTACAAAATTACAAATTACAATACAATGCAGGAAATAATTTTGATTGCTCTTATTCAATGTATTTGATAAATGTGATAGAAAAGATATTTTCCTGTAAAACATTGAGAATAATGCATTGGTGAAAAGTGTTCACTAATAAAAAATCTATCATGATTTTAGTTTTTAGTTTTGATTTTAATTTCATTGTGATCATTTACTTATTTTTTAAAATAAATTATTATTACACAATGACTTTTGTTTAATAGGTGTTACTTGTATTATACCTATCAAATTCAAAATAAATCTGCTGTACTTTAAAGTAAGAATAAGTATTGGTTAGAAAGTCATATTCATTTATTGGTGTGAGACATACCAGTGAATAAACAACGCCTATTTAAGCTCAATAAATGACTCTTGTTCATAGAAAAGTTTTCTCTTGACACATAATTTGTAGACTTCGTCAAAATGAGAGCTATATATCCATTGAGCATTCATTCAGATCTATTTATTTTCAAATTGAATGCCTTATTTTAGCAGAATCATAGATTAGATAGTTCTAAATGACTGAATATAAAGAATATTTGAATGTGAAGAATATTTCCACCAGTACTATCAACCAGATCTGTTGTATTCAATGGAATGAAAAAAACGTTTCAACTTTTCATTTTAAAAGTTGACATAATTACATACTATTTATAACATAATTAACTACTACTAATCATAATTTCAGTAAAAAGTGATTTTATTTATGAAAATAAAAAGTAAAGCTTTTGATAAATTAAAAAAAACACACACACACAAACATCTTATATACATACATTCCTTTAAAAATGACCAATGAAAAACCACCAGAAAAAATGTATTGCAAGATAATCTGAAACATCTGGATTGAATAAATTAACTGAAGCTTTGTTATTGAATAGTTTTCCAATTATGCTGTTATTCAACTGCTAAAAAATATTTGTAATTTGCAGAGAATTTTTGTGGCTTACTAATAAACAATTTAAATGATTGATTTAAAATAATCTATTTGCAAAATAAACATATAATTTTATTCAAAGAAATCATCTAGGTGGAAAAATGGCATAATTCTATCGATTTAATCTTTAAATAAATCAACATTTTTAGGTTTTAAAATTGAACATTTTCTATTAAAATTAATTTCTTGTAAATCTAATAGTTTAATCACATTTTGCAGTTTCCTTGATTAGTGCTCCTCTCCTCTTGGCAGGTTTTTAAAAATTATAATCTAAAGATAATAATTATTATTTGCTAATAATCCGTTATTAAATAACAAATTATATATTAATCATCTTCAAATATTTTTTTTTTTTATTGGATGATTATTTACCAAATAGTTTGGTCAAATAATGTTATTCATCTATGAATATTATGGTACCATTTCATGTTTTAAAACCTAACATTTCCTATTAACATTAATTAGTGCCAATCAAGTGTGCCTCTGTCAACAGACTTTCAAACTGAATTGTGCTTCAGTGTTCTTGTTTTTTAATAATTAATTATTTAAAATAATGGCAGAGCTAACAACGGAACAGCTCCAGGACCTGGGGGCTTGTATATGGAACTTCTAAAGGCCGGTGGAGATAAGATGCTTACACTCCTTAACAAGGTGAAGAACATGGTCCTGAAAGGGTGTGATCTGCCTGATGATCTCCGAACAGAATACCTCTGCTCCATCTTTAAAAAAGGAGATAGTAAGCAATGCCAGAATTATCATGGCATCTGTGTACAGAGCTCAGTAAGAAGAATTGTCGGGAGACTTGTCCGGGATAAGCTTGAAGGAGAGTACACCACACCGATGGTACAAACTGGTTTCACTGCCGGTAGATCCTGTATGGACAATATTTTTGTACTACGTCAGCTCAATGAGAAATGTAGGGCGAAGAATAGGGAGCTTCATTTAGCCTTTAGTGATCTGGAGCAGGCATATGATAGTGTTTCTAGAGAAAGAATATGGCCAACATTGATAAGACCAGGTAATAATGAATCCATGGTACAAGCAATTCAACTCTTGTATGGAAGCGATCTGTACAGAGCGAAGATTGGGAACCTCCGCTCGGAACCATTTTCTGGAACTAAAGGGCTGAAGCAAGGATGTTGTCTGTCTCCAAGAATTAGTGAAGCAATGGATGAGACAAAGTAGGGACTACGGAGTTTACTTTGATGACACCTAGCTCCTTACCCTGTTCTTTGCAGACGATCAGATAGTGATGGCCCGGAAGAAAGTTTTCCTGGAGATGTTGGTTGTCCAGTTAAAGAAGGTTTATGAAGAGGCAGGTCTAAGGATAAACTTCCAAAAGACAGAGTATATGGCACTGGGAGAAGAGGAAGACGATCTACGCATAGGTGAAAAGGTGTGCAGAAGAGTAAAACCATTTAAACACCTCGGGCCCTATCTAGACGATGTTGGGACATCCGAAGTGGATGTCTGAAGCAAGGTAGAGATGGCTAGAAAAGCTACTAGAATGCTACATCCTGTTCTCTGGAACGACACTATTTCAAACGCAAACAAGTGGCGTATCTTCACAGCTATTGCCGAGTCCATATTAACCTACAGATGTGAGGCATGGTCGACGACTGCTGGCTTGTACGCCAAAATTCAGACTGTAAAAATGGATTTTTGGAGAAGGTGTCTACAGTTACCGAGGCTGGACAGAGTCTGAAATGAAGTGGTGAGACAGAGAATAGGTGTAGAGGAGACCATCTCTGAGAGGATCGGTAAATGGTGGTTGAAGTGGTATGAGCACTGCTGGAGAATGGCGGAAGAGCATTGGCAGTACAGAGTCTTGGACAAGCAGCCACTTGGAAAGCTTAGGCGAGGATGACCCAGAACCATGTGGATGGAAGGAGTCCGAGAGGAGATGACTGGCCAAGGTCTACAGGAAAGGGACTGGGAGGAAAGAGATGGAACTATGCTTTGACCTGAAGAGGAGAGGTATCCCACATAGGAACACTGGAAATAAGTAAGTAAGTAAAATAAATAGATATTCTATAGGGTTTATTTTATTTATTTATTTTGGTTTGCGGAATATCAACATTTTATAGCTAATGATTTTGTAAATTATTAGGTTATATTTGGTGATATCTACTAACCTAAAAAGATACTACAATGAATATGTTTTATTATAAAAATATTTTTAATCTCTTGCTTAAGTCGTTAATCAAGATATACTTATTACTGCCTGCAAACTGCCGAGGTTGCTCTCATTATTGCCACTCTACTTTGTAACTGAAATTTTAACTCAAATAAAATTAATTTTAGCTCTGTTTTGGGTTGAATATCGTACTGTATGATAACAGGAGGCCAAATAGACATTTTGGGAAATTTGTAGATAGTACACTTGAGTGAAATTCTGGCATAGAAAATGAAGCTTTTTTTTACATTCGCCCATAAATCATGGAAATTATAATTCCATTTAGGAATAAATCAAAACACAAGTAAAGGAATGAATAGTATTGCTTAATCCATCACAGGAAGCATTAATGTCAAAATCTAATCAGTCAATAATTTTTATAGCAATTATCGAGAAAATTAAATGAAATAAATTTTTTATATAGTTTTTGATATAGAATTTCATTGAACTTCAAAAGATATAAATAACAACAACTAGACAAATAATACAAAAAGTAGTAATTTTTCTGTAAAAATGAGCATTTTTATTTAACAAAACTTTATAGTCTTGATATCATCAGAGCTTTTATTGGGAAAAATAAATATCACTAAATATAAATTTTATAATACTAGAGAGTTAGAATTTGTCAATTGAACAGATTTAACCATTGAATTTTATAATTATCAACAGAAGCGTCCAATAGAATTGTACCTAATTATAACAGATCATTTAATGGAAAATTTGAAATTTCTTTTGAGTCAAAATTCTCTAGAGGCATTCTAGAATGACTCTTAAACAGAAAAAAAATTCTTTTCCTAATTAAACATTAACAAAAATAATGAGCAGCCAAACAGGTATTAGCTTAACAATAAATAATTTTAGAAAATTAAGAAAAAAAAGAATATGTAAATTATTTGTATCCACTTCTTCTGTAATTTTACTTGAACTGAAAAAAAGTTAATCCAAGTTGGTTATAAACTTTATGAATAAATAACATGACATAAAAAAAGAAAATATTGACAGTTTGAAGCTTAGATAATAGGTATGGTTAGGAAGTAATGAAGTTTTAGGGAAACAACACAGATTGCCTTTATTATTCGAATGTTTTACAGACATAATTTTTGTTTAAAAGTAAAGAGAACAGTTTTGACATCATATGGTGAAAATATGCATACTTACTGTGTACACATTTATTTTACATTCATATTGTATTTCATAAATTG